TGTGAATCCTACCATGTTCCGTCCCCAGGACCTGGGTGGGGTGATAGAGTCATTGTGCAGTACAGAATATCTAGAGACAGTCTGGAAGCGTGGTAGGAGACTAGATTATCATTCAAAACGAGTGAGACATTTTAGAGAAAGAAGCTGCAAAAAACTGCAGTGAAATACCTCTTACTGCTCCTGGGCACATCAGCCCCGCAGAATGGGGAACAGCTGAGCAGTCCAGGAAGGGTTTTCAGATAGAGAATGTCCTCCCAGGTATAAAATGTTCTTGTCCATGTTCTGTGTTAGGTATTTTGGCTAGCTCACTGCTGGAATTCAGCATTTCGTCTATTGTGCCTGGCAAGGTCAGCTCCTCTCTGTGCCAGTCAGACCATTCCTTGAATACTGGCTTTCCTGAGAAAAACCAAGAAATCAGTGAGTGCAGCTAAAAGCTTTTAGAAAGCAGCCTGGCAGGAGAGTTAAAATGTGAAGACCGACAGCAGATGCTATGTTGAAGACTTCTCAGGTAGCACAAGGTGGTGGGACTGAAACACAGGAGATGTGCAGTTATTTTTTGCTGTGTAACCCAAAGAGATTTCCCCTTGCCCAGGAGGTAGGGTGGCTGCAGGATGGTGGTACAGGGCAGGAGGAATGGACTCAGTAGTGTCTGAGATACAGCCAGCACTGCCTTTAGATGTGTGTGTGGGGGTGCAACCTGGAAAAACAGGACCCTGAGCACTAAGGCCTTTTTGTGATTTGTTGGGTTGTAGAGCTTGCTGTTCAAATTGTGCTCCTTCATGGGCTTTTGGAAAAGCCTTGGGTGCCTTCAGGGCACTTCTGCAAAGCGGCTGCAGAGCTGCATTCCTCTGCTTCCCAATATCTAAAAATTATTTGCATGCCAGTATTATGGAAGTAAGTATCTGAAATTATTCCTAAAACCTTGAATTACCAGTTTTTGAGAGCACTGAGACCTTCATTTGTGGTTTTTGGAAGGAGTTCTGTGTGTACATCATACATGGTGTGCTCCTGGCAGCCCCAGCAGCTTAGATGTCCCTCTGCTCATCCTTCTCTCCAAGCAGGGCTGGGGCCTGCCCTGGGGGGCACCTCTGAAGCAGAGCTCATCTCCATACTCTCTCTCCCTGTGCTGTCCCACCTCCCACATCAGGAGAGGAACCTGGGAAGGGAAGTTTTAGTTACCAGCTTGCTCTGAGACTGAGCTCCCTGCAGTGGCTCACCACATGGGGCCTCTGCCAGTGTGGGTCTCTTTGGGCAGGGGAGGGGCAGTAGGATGGCAACAGTGTTGGTTGGAGCAGAATGGAGACCTGTCCATCTTTAGCTGTTGATGAGATCTTGACTGTAGAAAGCAAGCAAGAGTTGTCCAGGGGTGATTCTGCTTGCAGATGGAGCAGAGCTCTGAAAGTGGCTTCTTTAAACCCTGGTGCTTCCCCTGCCCTCATGTCCTTGCAAGTGCACTAAGCCCCAGTAAGACACTGCATTACTATTGAAATCTCTATTGCAATGATGAGCACCATCATGAACAGGAAAATAACCCAGAGGGTTTGCAGTTAACGTGCTGGGCTGGTGAGCATGGTTGGAGGTTAGAGTTTCACATGTCTGAACATCAGATGTGTGGGGAGGGCATTCTGCTCCCTGCAGAAGCTCTGCTTGATGCTCAGTTTTCAGTGGCTCCTGGTGCAGCTTGGCTGTGGCATCCAGCCTTGCCTTGTGTTCCCACTGCGGTGGCTTTGCCAAGGGTGCCAGCTGATGGTGCCATCTCCCCTTGCCATAGCGGTATATGTGGTGGCACGGTGAGCCAGATGGGCATCTCAGCCCACCTTGCAAAAATGGATTTCTTTCCCTTCAGCCAAATCAGTCCTTCCCCATCTGGTTAATCGCTCAGGCGTGGGGAAAGCTGTGCCAGTACGGAGGGGGTGTGATATGCAAACGGGAATGAGTTTCTGGAGGGGTGTGGGAGGATGAACATTGGTCCTTAAACAGCTTTTCTGCTGCTTATGAAACCACAGGCTGGGCAACCACAATTCCCTGTGCAGTGGTGTTGTTCTATATATTCCTGCACTTGAGATTCAGTGCAGCTCACTCTTCTGCCTGTGGTCCATGCTGCTTTGCCATTTGAATGTGTGGGGCTGGGGCTTGGAGAACCTGTTCCATGTCAGTTGGGCTGTTCCAGGTGTCAAACCAGTGCTGCCCTGCTCTGCTGTGGGTTCTTCTTCCAGAGGAGTCCTCTTTCCCTGTAGGTGTTGGAGTGACTGCAGTGGGGGTTGAGGTGTGCTCTCCAGGACCTGAGGATTAAGCACTCTGCTCCAATATCCCATGATGTAGTTTGCTACCTGTTACCAGACTTGAATTCACTGAGGGAGAGCTTGAGCAGTCACAGGGAAAAAGCAAGTTCCAGAGAACTAGAGGGAATCACAGCCATGCTATACCTCGGCCCTGACAGTTGTCCTTTTATCCCCTAAACCCATCTCACCCATGTGTTGGTAACCTATAGCCTGTTCCTGTATTCTCCACAGGTTTAATTTAATTAAATAAACATATTTATTGCAATGTACAAACAATATCCAAGCCCTTGCTCCCAAACAGGCTATTTGATACCAAGCTTTGCTTTTTAGATGGACTTCAATAGCACTGCTACTAAGTGGTTTTTATAGATCATTACTTTTGGCCAATTCATGAACTATCATACTAACATGTTTTCAGATGAATTGCCTTTATTATCCTACTAATACAATTAGTGTATCTTCTTATGGTTACCTCATCCTGCACATTGTTTCTGCAAGAGGTGTAACAGCATTAACTGCATAGAAAAAGCCCTTCTTTAGAAACCTGTTGGGCTTTCCGTAGCCCTGTCTCTGTTTCTCAGAAGCCACAAAGGTTGTCAGTGTATTTTTCTTGGCTTCTTACGTGGGAAGCATTTGTGCTGAGCTGACGAGGAGGGAATAAACCAGTGAAATTCCTTGTGGAGGGTGGGAAGTTACCTGAGGGTGAAGGGCATTTCACAGCATTCCCTGTGCCAGCATCTGGGCTGTGGCACAAGCCAGTAGGTGAGTGAAATAAAAAGGGGGGTGATTGAGAGAGAAGCTTAATTAGTGAGTTCATAGTGGCTAGTGATTGCTGTCAGAGGTAGGAGAGGACAGGAGATGACCATGATCTACCCCCCTGTGGCTCCCTTGGGGCTCTGGAGCTGGAAGCCTTCACCTGCACCCACTGGTTTTTCAGTGCAAAACATCAGAAGGGTTACATGTATGCCAGCATTGAGTGGGCTCATTCTAGTCTCTCTCTTTTTAAGCTTTCAGCTTTTAAAGTTTGTTTTTTTTTTCTCACAGCAGTGTGGGTCCTTGGAGTGTGGGTGTAGTGGGGAGCTGAATGCAGCTGGGTGAATACTTCTGCCTGCCTTGCACCTTGTGAAGTTGTACTTGAGTGTGTCAGCTGTGGTCAGCAGTGCTGGAGTGCGTTCTCAATCTCTGCTGTGGTTGAGAGGCCCTGGGGTGGCCGGGGAGCAGCCCTGAGCTGGGTGATGCTGGGTGATGCTGAGCTCTGGCTGAGCTCCTCCAGTGCCCCAGAGCTTTCATTCTTCCCTGGGAAACAAGCTGCCCTCCTGTGCACAATTAGCTGCTGGGGTCGGGAGAGAGCAGTTGGTTGTTGGTACGTGTTGTAAACATTGTTGGTTACCAAAATTAGTGCCTTGCCTCCTGCTTTTTAAAAATAATGGGATGTTGTGCTCATCTGGCAGCTTGGGGACATCTGGTGCTGTCAGAGCAACGTGTCTTTTTGAGATACTGTGCAGGCAATGCCCTGGCCAGAGAAAGATTAAAAATATCAGCAAATAAGCTTTAAAATTACCTCAGCAGTAGGTGCTGAGGAAGATAGATGGACAGAGATTTAGGAAACCTACTTCTCTTCCTGATTTCTTGAAAAATAAAAAGTTACAAATGTAGGTTTAGTCTCATCTTGAATATTGAGGTCAGCCCAAAGCAGGAAGAGCTAGACTCTATTAGTCTGAAGGGATATGAATTGGTTTTATGGATCTCCAGTACTTTTAATCCATTTTTTACTGAAATTATTGTTCAGTTTATTCTTTTGTTGTAATGTGCAGCATCATAGTGTTAATCCAGTGATTTGTTGTAGTTCCTTATTTTTAGTTTTATTTTTTTAGACTGCTGGTCTCAACAGCAGAGCTGTTTTAGTAGTTTCACTCAACTTTTCCCATAAGCATGTTTGCTGTTCCGTTGGGATGTTGATATAAAACTGTAACGGGAAGAACAGCTCAGTGACAGTTTTGAACAGATCTCTTCATGCAAATCTGCTTTTCCCTCCTATGCAAATGTTAAGGAGAAGTGTAATAGATATGTAAGCTGTTAAGTATGAACCAGCTGGATTTTCTGGCTTTGTGAGGCCTACATTCACTCCTTTACCTTTGTATTCCCCAGAGGTGAACTGGCTGAAGGGGGATGGCAGGTGGGTTGTGTTAAACCTGGCTCCTGCTTTGGTAGAGCCTTTGGGCAGTGACTGGTGGTGGAGCTGAGGATGTTGCTGAAGTCAGGGGGTTCCTTTCTGCTCCCCCAGGCCTTGGGCTGTGTCTGAGAGCTGGCCCTGGAAGGGAGGTGATGCAAATTGGGCAGGGGCACCAACCTTCATGGGCAAAGTGCCCTCACTACCTGTGGTCCTTCTTTATTGCTTGGGGACCACCAGTGAGTAACCCAGGCACTGCTGATCTTGTCATTGCTCTGATAAAACAGTGAGGCCCTGTGGTAGGTTTGTCTGTGGGTTTATTTGCTTTTGGTTTTATTTTCTAATCAAAATGTGCAGGTAATATCTGTATATTGTCATGGTATTTTCTCAAACTCATACCATTTGAATCAAAGCTGATGTTTCTGGGGATGCTGTAACCTTCACTTACCCTAAGTGGATGTTTTGTGTTTAACAGGCTGCATTTTGGTTTATTTTAAGATGCATTAACAATAAAAAATTGTATTAATGTAGCTTTTTTCTTCTGGCAGAAATGACTGCTGTCACTGCAGCCAACGTGAACTTCAAATGGGACCCCAAAAGCCTGGAGATAAGGACACTGGCAGTTGAAAGGCTGCTTGAGCCTCTTGTTACACAGGTAGGAAAAAGATGGGGCAAAATAAAGTCATAAACATGATTGCCTGTTTTGGTGTTTTGATTAAGTGAAAGCTTAAATTCTAGGTGTAAAACACTACAAAGAAAAAAGTCTACAAGCAGTTTCTTTGCTCAGTTTCATTGAACAGTCACTGGCCATGAGTCCAGGGAGACTGTGCTGCTTCAGCACCTGATAAGACACAGTAGTTACTGGCATGATTGAAATAATGTTCCATGCCTACACTTTGTGCTGGATTTGTGAATAAAAGCTTCTTTCTGTGTGGTGTATATGTGCCAGTGGAAAACACTGAAGAGCACAGGAAGGCTGGAGTAAGTGTTGTAAATGAGAGCTGTGTGTATTGAGTGTTTTGGAAATTCTTGGAAGAGGCTTTCTAGGAGGCCTGGAAGAGAAGGTACACAGGGACAGTTCACTTGTTGTCTTCAGCATTATTTTCCTGGAATGTGAAACGTCTAAAATGACAGAATGAGCTGGACACAATTCCTGCTTAGTACAGATGGGAATTATCAAGTTTTGTTTCCAGTATTATCCTCTTTAGTCACCAAGCTGCTGTCTGTACCTGCTACTTGTTCCCTCTGGGTCCTCAGGTGGGCAATTGGATGATGAGGCTTTTTAGCTAGTTACTGATGGAGTCTTTGCTTAAGAGAAATTGTTCTAATTTAGCAAACTTCACTGAGCAAACTTGTTCACAGGACCTTTTTCACCCAGTGCAGTGTCTGTAACTTACTCCTGAAGGAATAAGCACAACAGGCTGTACTGGCAATCCCCAGTTTTCTCAATGATGTGACTGGCAAAATAGAGAGGGAACTGGAGCAAATTGCCTTGTTGCAACTTGTTCTTTATTTGTAGAACACAATGAACTGAGTACAAATACTCCCCATTAACTAACCTCGATATTCCCAGCTGATGGCTTTCCCTCTCTGCATCAGCCAGCTGGGAAGATGGATTCAGCTCTGAGGACCTTTATGTCAGCAGTCCTTGGGCTTTCCAGAGTAGCAATTTTTTTAGTGTTGTAATTTAATGTCCCTCTGAAGCAGCTTTGTGTGAGTTTTCCAAGGCTTTCCAAAAAGGAGAGGAAAAAATAAGGCAAATGGAGAAGTATGTGTGGATTTTGTGACATGCCTGTGTTGGATGCAAGGGGATGGATCCTGATCCTGAGCTCAGGGAGTACCTGAGGGTTTCCTGGCCTCTGGTGATGACTCTGCTCCCAGCAGGGTTTCAGTCTAAGACACAGAGCTTGGAAATATTTGTTGATTGCAGGATAATTGTGAGAGTTCAGTTGGGTTTTTTTTTTAGGGAAATAATGAGCTCTACCAAGTCCTTTGCTCTGCGTTCAGCCCCTTGGCTATAGCACTGTTTTGGACTGAAAAGATACCATGTCTCTACATTTCTACTGGCACAGACTTCAACCTTGTCTGGGGTCTCTTATGACTGGGGAGTTATCCCAAACTAAGTATCCCCACCATGGTTTCTTCTATGTGGTGCCAAAGAGCTCTGGCCCGTTACCAAGACTGCAGTTTATCCAAAATATAAATAGATCTCCATCGTTAAAATCAACTTTTGAGGTCTGCCGCTGGTAAGAGAAATCTTTGAGCTGTTTAACTGCATTTATTTTGCTCATCTAAAGAATCAAGAAGCATGGTAGTGTTTAAATGTGAAAAACACTCATTCGGTTAATTTCTGGAGCTGGCAATAGTGCAGGTATTTGCAATACACTGTCTAGAAAAAAAATACACGTGGCCTTACTATCGAATGGATAAACATTAAATTTGTTGTTGGGTTTTTTCCCTTCCATCCATGCCTTTAGGTAACAACACTGGTTAACACCAGCAACAAGGGCCCCTCCAATAAAAAGCGAGGCCGTTCTAAAAAGGCTCATGTCTTGGCAGCTTCAGTTGAACAAGCAACAGAGAATTTTCTGGAGAAAGGAGACAAAATTGCAAAGGAGAGCCAGTTCCTGAAGGAGGAGCTGGTGGCAGCTGTGGAAGATGTTCGCAAGCAAGGTAAGAAGGTGGATCTGTTGGCCTCTTAAACTGTGCTTCTTTAGAGGAAGTGGAACCATTCCCATTTCCCTTTGCTGCTCTTTCTAATGACTCTGTGCCTCTCAGCTGTGGGTTTTCAGCTTGCCTGGCTGGCATCCCTGAGCAGTAATGTAACTGGGTAGGTCTGGAAATTGGATGGCTCAAGTAGGGGTTAAGAAGAGAAGCAGAAGGGCTGATTCTTTGAAGAGCATTTAAAAACTCAGTTTAGGCTCAAAATGTGCTCCCTGCAGCTATGAATTTTATGGGACTACATCTAAAATATGTCAATAAGTTCTTCCATATCTGACTGTATACAGACCAGCAGTGTAGGAGGAAGAGCCAAGTATTGACTCGACAGAGACATGTTTCTTGAATATCTAAAGCATAAACAGCACCAAACAGAATGTGAAGACCTTGATTAAATATTCCAGACTTCCTTCCTCACATCTAATGTTGATTTTTATAATTTTCTTTTTTACTTTCTTGGAGCAGACCTGCAAGAAAAGCCTATGGAGCTGACTTACTCTAAAATATGCACTAGTAAATATTGTTGCTCATAAATCATTTATCATTCTTCCAGTCATGAGTCTTTTCTATGCTTCAGTGAAACCCAGTCAACTGGTATTAATGGTGACGGCTGCTGCTGCAAAAACGGGAAAACTCATTAGCATTAATTACTTGTTTGTAGCTGAAGTTGCAGAGTGGTGAAATATTAGTTGCAAATGGTTCTAAGTTCTGGATGAGCCTGGCTGATAGACCAAAGAAAGATCAAGGTAAGAAGGCTGCAATATAAGGGGCTAATTGAGTTGGCTTAATTTAACAACAACAAACAGCAAGAGAGCCCTTTTGACTCCAAGCTTTAATTGTTGGTGCTCGACTGCTGCTCAGTCGAGAGTTAGTACTTATCTGTGGGTGCCTCCAAATGGCTCAGTGATGCTGGTGAGAGAGGGAGCGCTGCTCAGCCCTTGGGATTGAGAACTTCCCTGAGCTGGATTTGTAGCTGAATATTGCAGTGAGAAGCTGGTGGGAAGTACAGACTGATAAAAAACCTTCCAGATGACCCTTTCCCATGTTTCTTGGCTCCTTCTTGGTTCTGAGACTACACATAGGCTTGATGCCAAAACCTCCCTGCTCTGCTGGCTTTGACAGAGGAGGTGAAGCTCATAACTGAGAGGTGCTGGAGTGAAATAACTTCCCACCTTAATGCTTCACTTCTTCCTCCCTTTTTGCTGTTTGCAGCTTGTGTGGATTCTGGTGTAAAAGGGATGGCTGTGCCTGTTTCCTCAGGCTAGTGGGTGGTCAAACACAGTGAATCTCCTGGACACAAGTGGTGCCCACCGTCCTCCAACACAACCCGGGGTCAAAGCTTTGCCCCATCACAGGGCCAGTATTCAGCCAGGTTTAGCAGAGCAGCTCTTGGTGAGGAAATTAAAAGTCAAACCAGCCTTTGAGGAAATGAAAAGTAGTGAAAAATTAGCTAGAACAGAGGGAAGGGTTTTGCTACCAGTGTCCTGGGGGATTGCAGTTCTTAGCAGTGCTAGTAACAGCAGGGAGATACAACCTCCCAGTGCATGTGGTTGTGTACACTGTGCACCTCAGAAGCTTCCCCACATTATGTCAGACCAGTTGAATTTATGAACTGGAGAAACAAGGAAAGTGTGATGCAAAACCTATGCATGTGCTCAGCAAGTCTTTTGCAACAAGGGAATGAGTAGAGAGGAGAATGTGGGTGTTGTGGTCAGCAGCAGGGTGATGATGAGCTGGCAGTGGGATTTTAGATAGAGAGCATAATTAATCTTCATTGGAGGTCAGGAAAATAGCATTAATAATGCCTCTGTTTAGAGTAGGGAGTGGTTTAGTTACCATAATAAATAAAGATGAATGAATGTAGACAGGGATTATGAAGATGATTAGGACAATAGATAACTTGTCTCATCAGAGAAAATTAAAAAATTTTTTTTTAGCCTAGCGAGAAGATTGAGAGAGTACATGATTTTTGTGAGCATGCTCGTTCATAAAATCCCATTTGTTGGGGGTAAAAACAAAGAACTGGAAAGAGCTATTTTGAATGAATAATAGCATGGCTGCCTACTAAATCAATGTAAGTGGATCTTCAAAGTCTTCTTGTTTTTTACAATGGAAGAATAAATTACAGCAAGCAAGTTAATGAAATATCCTACAGTAAGATTCCTGGCCCTTTAAAGCTTTTTACTTTTGATTTCTTATAAAGTAATGAAACTTCTTAAGATTTTGAGCAGAAAAGTGGAGATAGGGAATCAAAGTATTTTTCAGAATAGATCCCACTGTGGTTATTGAAAAGACTTTTTATTTGGAAAGCATTTGATGTGAACATCTTGGATTTCAGTGTTTCAGTATTTGTTATAGGCATTTCTGCCATCAGAGGTTTGCTGGGTAACAGAAGGTGCAGCACTGGTCCTGCCCAGCCTCGCTCCCCACTGCAGGCTCCCTGTGCATCTCACTCTATGCTGGAGTGCTCAGCTCCTGTGGTGCTGTTGGGAGGTGTTTTGGAACTTCAACCAGTCCCTTACCCAGGTGCTTGGCACCAAGAAATCTTCCAAACGGGGCTCAAGAGGGAAATTTATTTTGGGTAACACTGTCAAGGCTGTTCCTGATTCTCTGGAATGCTGATGGCTACAGCTCTCTGTCTCTGTATCTGTATGTGAGCATGGGGATCCAGGGAATTCACTGTGCTCTCCTGTTGTGTGTCTTCTATGGCAACGTTACATAACAGACCAAAAATTAAAGCTTAACACTGAAAAGCCTTAAGCCTGTGTATAAGGTTTGAGGTAAGAGAAGGAATGAATGCTTTAGCTCAGGTTGCAAATGCAGGGGAATGAGCCAACTGATTCAGCTCTGTATCCTTCTGCTTCATTCTTCTAAGTGAAGGGTTCTTCAAAACAGAACAGTGAGATGAATTATGAAAGGGGAAAACAGTTTCTTCAAATGTACATCACAGAGGATGTCTTGCTTAAGGATTTCCAAGGAGCAGGAGGAGGCTAGTTGTGGAACATCTTGAAGTAAATACCGAATTTTTCTTGGAAAATTCAACTTCAAAATTCTATTGTGACCAGTTAGCTTAGAAAGGTACAATGAGTACTGTTGGTTTCCTGCAACAAAGTTTTAGGAGTGTGCCACTTTGAAAAGCCATAACCTGGCTCTGAGGAAGCTGTGAGGTGTCCCTTGACAAACTGTAGGAGTGTTGTAGACAGTATATGGATTAAATTGAAGACAAGATTAAGGAATTATCAGAAGCTTTTGTTGCCATAAGTATTAACTCCTGTGTTGATATGGCCAAAGGTCGTGTGGGGCCTCATCCTTGAGAGCAGAAAGCCAGGACAGCCTGCTGTGACCCTGCTGGTGGGTGTTGAAGGTGGCATTATTGGTGAGATAGGAGGACTTCAGTATCCAGAGCAGTAGAGACTTGAAATGCTGATTTCCTGCTTGCCTTCATTTGGTGGGGAATGGCAATCTCTGGGGAAGTGTGTGGGGTGCTGTGGGCAGGAGGGAGTGGCCTGGTGGCCCTGTTGTGTCACTGGTGCTGCTGACAAAGCAGCCTGGGGCCAGCTCTGAGCTGAAGTGCTGAAGGGTACGAGAGGATGTGTGGGCATGAATCCCCAGCTTGGCAGAGGGGCAGCAGTGCCAGTGTGTCCTGGCCTGCCCTGCCCTGCCTGCTGCTGTGCCCTCCTGTCTGTGGTGGCATGGAGCAAGTTCTGTCCATGGTCGTCGTGTTCCACACTGAGAGCAGGCTTAATGGTGCTGCCTGAAGGTGTTGGCACACCCTGTGGGCCTGGGGGAAACAGACTAGAAAATGGGAATTTTCTTTTGATGGATTGAAGTCTGACCATTTCTAAAATGGGCTTTGTTCCATTAGGTTTCATTGAATTCTTAGTGCTTTACTGACATGATCATAGGATGGCTACTGTTGCCTCTTATTTTCTCAGGTCTGTTTTATTTTCTTTCCCTTCTAATATCTAATGAAGATCTAAGGTTATATTGGAAAAACAGACTACTCATGTAAGAATTTGTTCCAGCTTTATAATCCGAGTCTGGCAGTTGGACTCTTTTCCACTGTGTTACTTTAACTCTTAAAATCCTTCTTCAGAGTGGTTGTGTTAGCTGTGTTCAGTGTTGAAAATGGGAAGATTGTGCTGGATCCCCTTGGAACTGCTGATGTGCACACACAATGCAGTACCTGCATATTGAGTCCAGGCCAGAGTGCCCTCTTGCCCTTTGAATCCAGCTGAAAGAACTACCCCAGGGTGCTTTCCCTTTATAAAAGAAGCCTGAAAGTCAGCTTCCCTTAACTGGCAGAAATGTATATATATGCAACAACTTTAAATATAATCTGCTTTTAATTTTGGGAAGCTGGTTATCTTTTGACACCCTGACAAGCTGTTTGAAACTCACTAAATCTTTTAAAATCTCTTGTTAAAATAAAAGGGAATAGCATTTTATTTTAGGACTGGCTTGAAAGGTTGCAATTTAATAGATGGGTAGAGGATAATTTTGGCTTTTAACTTTGTTAGCAATTACTGAGATTCACATGAAGCAACTGACCTCTTCAATGTGTTGTTTTAAATAGAAAATAAATTAAAACAATATTTTGGGAGTTGAAAATGTGGGTATTTTATATATCAATAAATAAGGAAGGAAATATTTGTACTCAGTTTTGGTTCTGACATATCACAGAATGGCCTGGATTGGAAGGGACCTTAAATCCATCCAGTCCCACCCCCTACCTTGTCAGGGACACCTCCCGCTGTCCCAGGCTGCTCCCAGCCCTGTCCAGCCTGGCCTTGGACACTTCCAGGGATCCAGGGGCAGCCACAGCTGCTCTGGGCACCTGTGCCAGGGCCTGCCCACCCTGCCAGGGAGGAATTCCCTCCCAATATCTCATCTAACCCTACTCTATTTGAAGCCATTCCCTTTATTGTGTTACTTCATGCTCTTGTAAATATATATCCTTAAATCCTGAGGTTGACAATGAATTTCATACTTGTAATGATGACTTTTACTATTAGCCTGTTCCAGAAGGAATACAGAAAGGGTCATGTCAGAGTTCTGTAATCTAGCTGTTTGAAGCTCACAGCATTGGTGGTACATCATTTCTCACCCATCTGGAAATCTGGAGTTTTTAACCCATGTTAAAATAATGAGTTGTGTTCCCCAGAGCTGGGTAGGGGATAGCTTTGGGTTGATACTCAGAGCTGGCCTGTACTTGGACAGAAGCTTTTTTGCTGCATCCCAGTACAGAAGTAGCATATTTTTATCTTAAAATGTCGTGTGCCACTCTTGGTTGTATTATTTAAGATGATGGAAGGGTGTTACATAGTGGGGAGCATTTGAACAAAATCAAGTATGTTGGTGTGGTTGCCTGGGCAGGCTGGCAGCTGTGCTTGGGCTGAATTTAGCTGTGATGGTGTAGGTGCCTGAGTGGGAAAAATTTCCTGGGCAAGATATTATGTATGGGGATGGTTAACCCCAGGCTCTCCAGCTGTTGGCATTTCTGAGCAGTTAAAAATAAGCTGTTAAATAAGTAGAGCCTCCTGGGACCACATCAGGCAGAGATTTTGGTGCAGCCCTTGCCCAGTTTGGTGTGGGGAACTCCATGGGATTCACTGTCAGCTGTCACTTGTCAAGCGCTGGTGGAGGTTTTTTAGTCTCATCTGAGACAGGCTATTTTTATTTTTGCATTTGGCCACATGGATATTTTTTCATACAGGTTTTTGGGAAGCCTCTGAAACAGCACCTAGCTATAGCAATCTGCTTTCTCGTCAGCTCTTGCTGCCTGCAAATCCCTGACCCGGAGGCCCTACCGTTTTCTAAACTAAGTCCTAGCTGTTCCCTGTGTTTCTGAGATGCAGAGAGATCCAAGGATAACAATGTGGATTCCAAAACTTACTGTCATGTAGAAACTGTGGTACTGGAGGCTGGCCAGAAAAGTGAGGGAGAAATCCAAAATTTACTCCTCTGACTATATGCAGACATTACTTTCATGCTTTGTGAATGCCTTCTGGAGGAATTGCTCTAGCTGTGCAAAGTGGCCTTTGCTTTTCATAGTTAACCAATGGCATTGTTAGCATCTGAAACCCAAATTCTTTGCTCCTGCACCAGATGCAGCCCCACAGGCTATGAAATGTTGAAGCGTTTTACGAAGCGCTGCCTGGCTTTGAATTCCAACCAGGGCATATCCAGCCAGGTCATCGCTCCGAGTTGTTTACGGTCCCAGGAGCTGTGTGTTTACAGGCCTTTCTGCTGCTTTCTGCTTAACTCCTACAGGCACACAAATCAGAGCTTTTGCTCAGACTTTGAAAGCATCGGAGCTTGGCAAATGACTGCAGCCCTGCAAAGGCATGCTGAATTCACCTCTCTAGAGAATTCTGGCATGCTGAAACACCTGTACAAATGGAAATAAGGACCAAAGTGTGATTTCCCAGCCCTTCCTCCCTGCACAAAACCCTCTGCCCCAATGCCATGAAGTAGCTGTACTTAGAGGTAGCTACATGCAGCATTACCTGTCAGCCGTATTTCACAAAGGCTTTGTTTTAGAGACTCGGGCTGGCTCAGGATCCTTTCCAGTGGCTGATGCCATGCTGTGTGGTGCTGAAGCCAGCCCCCCTGTCCCCCCATGCAGGTGACCTGATGAAGAGCGCGTCGGGGGAGTTTGCAGACGACCCCTGCTCGTCGGTGAAGCGCGGGAACATGGTGCGGGCCGCGCGCGCCCTGCTCTCCGCCGTCACCCGCCTGCTCATCCTGGCTGACATGGCCGACGTCTACAAGCTGCTTGTTCAGCTCAAAGTTGTAAGTGTGGGCCTCTGCTGTGCCTGGCGTGCTGGGGCTGCTCTGCCAGGTGCCCACCGTGTGTGTGAGACCCTGTGGGGTGTGCGCTGGCAGCAGCTTCCTTCTGCAGTGGGGAGGGTCTGGGGGTTTTTGCTCTCAGCAGAATGTGTGCAGTGGGTGTGTGTCACTCACTTTCATACTCACTGTCAGTAGCTTTTGACATTGAGCTGCACTCTGTTCTGAACTTTTAGTACAGAAACTAACTGAGCCCTGGTCTGCAGCTGCAGGTGAGAGCTGACCCTTTCATCTTACAGAATTTGGCTTTCTTATAGCCAGTACTCCTTTGCAGCTGCTAGGGATGAGTAGCTTCAGGAGGCTAAATAAAAATGAAAGTGGACTGTTTGAGGAAGCCTTTCCTTCCCATGAGCAGCAGGGTGGGTGAGTGCTTTGTGCAGAATTTAAGTGAAATGACGTTGGATACTGGGTCTTCCTTTGCAAACAAGCTTTGAGGATTCTCTTTGTGCCCTTTGGCCACTGTTATGGCCCCGCCAGGGCCCTTGACTCCTTCAAGCTCTTTCAGATGTGTGCTCTTGACTGTCTCTGGTAGCTGGTGACTGTGAAATAGTAGCTAAGCACTGTATCCAATTGGCCTTTGAAGTGTCTCTCTCCAAAAAATAACAGGGGGCAGAGGAAGATTGCTTTCTCTGACTGCCATGAAATACATTCTGAACTACCTCCTGACCTGTGGACTGTATTGCTTGGAAATATATGTGACTATATATTCTTTTAGGTGGAAGATGGTATCTTGAAACTAAGAAATGCTGGCACAGAGCAGGACTTGGGTATCCAATACAAAGCCCTCAAACCAGAAGTGGACAAGCTTAACATTATGGCAGCCAAAAGACAGCAGGTATAGTGTGGCCACTTTCTTCTGTATATTAATTCTTACTTTTATTTTCCAAAGTAGCTTGTTGCTCTTGGAAAGTGACTATTCTGTTAATACTTCTTACTTTATTTTTTTTTACATTATTGCTGAGTACTTTGTTTTGCTCTGCCATGTTAAGGAACTGTGAGTTTGTCTGGTAAGCAAGAAAAGTATGCTTGGCTGTAGGGTGCTGCCTCTGATGTAATTTGTTCATAGTTGCATTTGTTTATGTCAGTGTTTTAGTGCCTTAATGGCATGCTGCTGCCCAAGAGCTGCACTTGAGGACAGGGAGATGTGTCCCAGTCCTGGGGCACTCTCCTCTAGACCCTGTTGCTGTTGTGGTTTACACAGATGGACTGATCATGTCCACGTGCACAGGGAGCTAAAGCCATGGCTGGGCTCAGCTACAGCTTCCTGAGAAAGTGAGTGATACTGCTCACTGGCCTTGCGCTGAAATGTCCATTGGAGGAGGGGTTTAAATTCCTGTTTGTTGTGGATATGTTCTGTGTTTGGATAGCTTGTGCTTAGCCTTAAATTGCGTGTGAAATTTGTTTTGTTCAACAGCACTGGTGTGACTCATTCTTGAGTAGTTAAGTTTTCAGAAGAAAGCAGAGGTGTGGGCAGTTTAAGTTATCAGAAATAGCATAATTCTTTTAGAGCATTTTTTGCCTCTTTGTTCTGTAGATATGTACAAACCAAAACTGCTTAAGCACTTCTGACACTGCTTGGTTTTTTTGGTTTTTTTTTTTGCATAGATATGTCTTAGAAAATAAGCTGGGTACAGTAAAAAAGGGATTGCCATTTAGTTATGTATCTCAAATCTGATTGCAGTAAATGGGATAGGGTTGTGATGGCAATGCAATAAATGCTCTAAAACTGCTTTGTGATGGATTGTTCCACACTATGGGAAGTGGTTGTACAAAATCTGTAAGTCTCTGTGCTTGCTTGGAGTGCCCTGCCTGCTCAGTGTGTACCTTACAGAGGTCACCTATTGCCCATTCATTTTAGAGAGTCTGACAGAATTTTTTCACTTTTTCTCAGTAAGGAAGTCCTTGTCTTCATTTTCACTGCCTCTTTGTTAGATTTAAGAGGTAATTTTGAAATGCTGCTGCTGCAACTGTAGTTGATCCTCCTTTTATAAACTTACTGCTTGTGCTGGTCTCGGAGGCTTTATCTGATCATAGTGCTCTGTTCCAAAACAGAGGTGATGGTGCTTTAGAGAATTACAGCACAGAGTGTTTGGGAAAAGACTTATGGACTTGCTCACTAATGTTGAATTAGTGGTAATTACAGTCATTGGATTAATTTTGTCTCATTGGAGGTGAACAAGAAGTTGAATGAGATGATATATTTGTTCTTCTGAAATTAAGTACCTGAGTCTCTTGAGGAGAGTAAATGCCATCTTCGAGGTGTGATTAAAGAAAACATTCTGGTTGTGAGCCTGTGAGTTTAAATTAAAGATGATCTTGCTTCTCATCTGCAAGTGCAAGACAGGACAGATTTTAAAATGCTGGTCCAATTCTGCAGAGGAACAAAATATCCGATGTCAGATTTTGAATTGTGGTGTTGTGAATTGCCCTGGAGTGTTGTTGTTTTTTGGCTTTGTGAAGCTGTCGTGTTTTGCAATTAGTTGAGTCCTTAAGGCTAGGAATGCTCAGCAGACAGATTTGAGGCAAAGAACCTGCCTGTCCCTTGAAGATGCAGGAAGACAGTGTATGGATGTTGAATGTGGGCAATGCTCTCAAATGCCTCTTTTTCCCCTTTAATTTTCCTAACAGGAGTTGAAAGATGTGGGTCACCGCGATCAGATGGCGGCAGCCAGAGGAATCCTGCAGAAGAACGTGCCCATCCTGTACACAGCATCCCAGGCCTGCCTGCAGCACCCCGACGTGGCTGCCTACAAAGCCAACAGGGACCTGATCTACAAACAGCTGCAGCAGGCGGTCAGCGGCATCTCCAACGCCGCCCAGGCCACGGCCTCGGACGACGCTGCCCAGCAGCAGGGCGGGGGCGGCGAGCTGGCCTACGCCCTCAACAACTTCGATGTGAGTGGAGCCCTGCTGGGAAAAACCCCTCCTGCTTGTTCACCTGCCTTGTTAGCCACAGCTTGCTGTTATTGATATTACCTGGCAGATCATTTTCTACTGAAGTGCAGCAAGTTGTAGGCAAAGTAGGCTTTTTTTAAAAAAAGCCATTTTCCAAACAAGGGTTGATGGAATGTAGAAAGTTATATATGTGGTTCTTGGTGATGGAAGGCTGTCAAGTTAAACTAGCTCTGAAATAGCAGTTAGCCTACTGCTACATTAGATGGTTTGTTTGAAATTGATTATTTCATAATATATTTATGTAATGTATTCTTGGAGGTGACAGAAGTGATTTATTAAAAGTGAATCATGTATTTGGGATTGCTGAAACTACCTCTTGAGAGGAACATGAAGTGGGAAGTTTTAATATGATCTTTGGTTGGAAATGAAGTCATTTCATACTGATAGGTTGTACTGATCTGTCATGTTCTTTATCTTGCATTCATCACGTTGCTGAGGACAGTCATGCATTTTTACTGAGCTCGCTTTCCTTTTGAAGCCAGGATTCGGTGTCTACCTGATTCAGCCTCTGAATTTTAAATACTGTAGCATTAATTTACTCTAGAACTTTATTTAATATTGCAAAGCCATCACTCAAAAGGCATTTAATAGTCGTGGTTTTGCCAGATTTTGCTCAGTTTCTCCTTTTTGCTCTTACCACTCTTGTTCCTCCCTTTCTACCACGTGTATTTTGCCAGGATAAAGTTCTGATTGAGTTCTCCCTGTGTCTGATAGGAAGTCTTTTCCCTATGATCTCTTGGATAACAAGAGGATGTCATGGCTGTCTTGATCTTTGTGACTAATTTCAGTTTTGAGTTTGCCTTTCTGAAATTCCATCAGGTGCTCAGTAAGCCTTCAGAGCATGCCTCAGGTTAGCCCCAGTGAGCTGCAGGTTCTGACAGGTCCCTGTGGGAGGGGAAAGCAGCCCTGCAGCAGCAGCACCACGTCAGGGGCTGGAAGTGAAGAAGCAATTCAGTGCAAGTTGGTGGACTGGCTTGTACAACTCAAGCCAGCTAATGGGATTTCTGATAAATTGCCCTGTTTTATTATACAAACTCTCCAATATACAGCTGCAGACTACTTTTTGAGTATTGCAGTTCACATGAAGCTTTCTGAGCTTTTAATTCCACTTCGTGAGGCTCTCTAATAGCAGCAGTGCCTGATCAGCAGGCCAGCTTCACGATAGCTTTGTCTCATCCCTGCCAAAGGAGGCTGACAAAACAAATGTGTTGAGGTTCTTGGCAGATGTTATCCGTGCACTTCATTTCCTGCTACTGCTTGAGTGTTATTACACTCCCATAATAGAGGCTTTGAGCACACATGCCCTCAGATATTCTAGTGATGGTAAAATATGAAATGGCTACCAGAAGATAACAAGCTGATTGTTATCTCTCTTTTTTTTTTTGGTGGTGCAGTTCTGCAATGGTAGCACACTACCATTGTATTAGCCAATGGCTAAAAGTTTCAGGAAGAACGAGGAGGGAATGTGTTGGAGAGCACATACCATGTTCTCATCCTGCTGTGATGGCTGCATGGTTACTCTGTAGGGATATGAAGTGTGCTGGGGGCTGGCAGAAGGAGGTGGTTGTGACGTGGCTGCTGAGGTTAGCTTGAACACAAACTGGCTGAAAAAATTCCCATTTCAAAAAGCTTTGGGGCTTCTTTTAGAATTACAAAATTCTGCCCCTGAAATAACCCAGCCTAACCCTACACAAACAACCAGACCATGAAATGGCCAAATTATTTTTCTTTATTAAATTAGAGATCTGTTTAAACAAATCACCTGAAAGAACTCAAAGGTGATAAATCCTGTGCAGTTTCTTCCTGGGGAGCGTCCGTGGATGGTGCTCTCAGCCCCTTGAGAGCAGATGCGTCAATGCTGCTGTTTCAGCCCTGAGTCTCTTGGTCCCTGAGCTGTGCTTGATGACACACTGGCAAGAGAAACATGTGGTAATTTTCTGCCGTGAAGAAATGGATTTCTGTGTGGTTTGAAACCTTTATGTAGATGTTTCACTTGAAGCATTTTTGAGAACACAGTTGTATTTACCTGCTTAACACTGAAGAGAAGAAAGACTGTGCAAAGTAGGGCAACAGAATACAATACATAGAGCTAATTTTGGATGTTTGTTTTCTTGTTCATGATGGGATAATTATATCTGACAAGTTAACTAGTGAAGGCCTGTCCAAATTGACATGTCATTAGGAAGAGTTCTGTACTTTGAACCTTATTTTTGCTGGCACATTTGGTTTTTGCCATTCATGTAACAAGGCTTCGTATGGCCAAGTTTTGTTTAGCTGTCAAAGCAGCACAAGAAATGAGTAGCAATATAATCTGCTGGGAAACCTCTTAGTAATTTTACAGAACTACTCATGAAAATCCTTCTCAGTGCCAAAAGGGTGTCATTTGCCTCTTAATGCCTGATCAGGGGGTTGCTCTAAGTGTTGGTTGTGTGCATGACTTAACAGTAATACACTGCTTTGATGCCTTAGAGTGGCTACCTAGAACAGAGGCTAGACAAGATTAAAAGTGGATATTTATTGAAGGCCTTCTGTAGATATACCTTGGGCAGTCAAAAAAAACCTCAGAGAGGGTGGCCACACCCAAGATGGATGATGGTCATGGATTTTTCAGGTAATTATAAGTTTGGTCAATTTACATATCAGGGGTTAATCCTCCAATTACGCTTTCAGGTAATGAAGTAATTTACTCTAAGCTTGCCCCCCCACTCCAATTCACTATTGTTTACGTCTCTCAGGGCCTGAGACAGTGAGATGTCCTTGAGGAATTGGTTTGTCTGACCAAAATGCAGACAGTAGCTCAGACTCTCTAAGGAGTTTAAGAGTTATACACTAAAGCACTACAGAATTTGAAAAATATAAAAGCTGAATCCTAAGGTATCACTTGGGCCAGTGACTGATTCGCAGAACTTTTTCTCCTGCTAGAAACAAATTATTGTGGACCCCTCGACATTCAGCGAGGAGCGGTTCCGGCCGTCCCTGGAGGAGAGGCTGGAGAGCATCATCAGCGGGGCAGCGCTCATGGCCGACTCGTCCTGCACGCGCGACGACCGCCGCGAGCGCATCGTGGCCGAGTGCAACGCCGTGCGCCAGGCCCTGCAGGACCTGCTCTCCGAGTACATGGGCAACGTGAGTACCCGCTCTGCTGGCTCCCCTGGGAGCTGGAACTCCATGGGGTCAGCTGAAATATGGAGTTGAAGCTGTGTCCCTCAAAGCTGGTTTGTTCCCCTGAACTCGGTGCTGGTGAGGCTGCACCTTGAGCATTGTGTCCAGTTCTGGCCCTGCAGTTTGGGTAAGACATTGACACACTTAAGCATGTCCACTATGTCCACACTTCCTTGTCCAGAGGAGGGCAGCGAGGCTGGTGAGGGGCTTGGAACTTAAGTCCTGTGAGGAACAACTGAGGGAGCTGGGTTTGTTTAGCCTGGAGAAAAGGAGACTCAGAGGTGACCTTACCACTCTCTACAACTTCCTGAAAGTTGGTTGCAGTCAAGTGGGTTGGTCTCTTTCACCAGGCAACACTGACAGGGCGAGAAGACAGTCTTAAACTGCATCAAGGGAAATACAGGTTGGATATCAGGAAAAAGTTTTTTACAGGAAGAATGATAAAGTTCTGGAATGACCTGCCCGGGGAGGTGGTGGAGTCACCATCCCTGGGTGTGTTTAAAAAGCCTGGATGTGGTATTTGGTGAGGGCTAAAGGGCACTTGGCAAACTGTTGCTAGGGCTGGGTTGGACTCGATGATCTTGAAGGTCTCGTCCAACCTGATGATTCTGTGAATACTATTCTGTCCCAAATAGAATTTGAGCAATACCAAGTGGTCCTGAAAGGTTTGTCATGAGGTGGGATGAAACCTTCTTAAATCACCAATGATACTTACCTTAAAACTGATCTCCAGTCTTCCAAACAAATGTTATCATCGTAAAGTGTTAATTCCTTGGCACTGCTTCTATTTCTCTTTTATGACTGTTGACGTTGTTTTGTAGATAAAGTCAAACCTCAGTTTACATAAGGTAACTGGGCTTATGCAAAAAGTTCTACTTCAGTTCTGTTGTCTCTTGGAAACTTTAACTGTGTCATCTTTGTAACCAAAGCATGAATTGTCAGAACCAAGTTGATTATTGTTGCTGCTATTATGGTTTGAGTAGAAGTGATGTATGAAGTTAAATATGTAGTAAAAAATCTGAGAGCAGTTTGGTGCAAATACTGGGCTCGGAGCAGTTCTTTTCCAGTGTTTAGGCACTGAATGTGCACACTGTCTGAAGCCTGAGAGTGTTCCTGCGGTTGGAGTAAGTGTCATGTCATCCGGATGGGCTTCTGCATTTGAGGGCATCATGGTGTAATATTGGACTTGCTTCTCCTCCATTGCCCCTTTGCTCTTGTTCCAGTGGGTTTTAAGCTGAAGAACTTGCTGTGTTCAGAGGTGAGATCAGGAAATCGTAATTAAACGAGACTATTTATAATTGTTAAAGTTCAATACTGTTAAAGCTGATTTCTGAAATAAAGTTGCAGAAATGGCAACAACTTAAGCAAACTGTGTGGCTTGTAGCACTTTAGCAAGTAAAATTGTCTGAAGAAATCTTAATGGGGGGACTCAAGGTCTTATTTATGCTTTTGAACTTGTTTGAGGTGCAACTGAGTTCAGTGATACCTTTTTTTAGACAGTAACACTTATTTAGGAATGTTGCTGCATTAGTTACCTTACCTTCAAATCTTTTGGCCGAAGTGATTTCAACATAGAGCAGAACTGGTCTGGGGCTGCCATGTGTGGGTTGGAGTGGTGGAATTTGGAGAACAGATGCAGTGTGTAGTAGAGAGAAAGGAAAACAAGATTTCTGTTTACCAAAGAGAACAAAACTGAAAGGGAAGTCTGATGTAGCCCGCGGGCTGAGCTAGGTATTCATGTAGTTTGTCTTAATTGCTTGTGAAAGTAGCTTGTGCTCAGCACTGACATTTTGTAGAACTTCAGACTGCAGCTGGAAAGCAAAGCACGAAGTTGTGCCACTCAAAACTCCTTTGAGTAGGGTGTTTTATGAGTCTGTGAAGCATCAGCAATAATCCCTCAAATGTGCTGCTGGATTGGATGGAGCCCTGTCAGCATGATTCCAAATGGAGCAGCCACCAAAGGGTAATTAAACGTGTGCAAGAGGTAAATGCTCAGTCTTGCATGGAGGAGTTGGTGGCATTTGTCTCATTGAAAGTTGGTCAAATAGCCATGTGAGAGTGCAGAGCTTTGACTTCCTCTCACAGCAATGCCTGTCCTCCTCAGCCATATGCTTTTGTCTCTGATAGGCAAGTTAAAGTAATCACTCTGAGATGGGAAGAATGTATTCCCTCTGTTATCTCCTTTGGCACATTGTGAAATTAGTGGAGCATACTGCATTTTTTAAAGTCACTGTTATGTTATGATTGTAGACAGTGTAGTTGGGGAAATGAGATTAGAAATTCAGTGAAATGGAGTGGAAAAAGCAATTGATAAATTATGGTTAAAATGTGGGATGGTGTGTAAAAATCCATCCTGTAAACCCCTCTGTGATTAAGCTGAAGAATGACTAATAGTTGGGAATCTAAACAGTGAAAATGGTTTGATACATCTGCAGGAAGAGTAGGGATGTGCTGACTTAGAGTAGTGGCAGAGGAAATGTCATTTCATGTATATGTATGATATACCCACAGCTCCTGGGATGCTTTCCTCCAGTCTCCCTTTGAAGGAGGAAGTGAATTGGGCATTAAATCTGTTAATTGCACAGCACTTGCAGTGCATCGTAAATCCTATCCAAGTGCTAGAGTAAGAGGTATTTATTGGCCAAGTGTAAAAATTCAGAGAAGATTGGATGAGGAATAGACTGGAAAGGCTGAAGCACAGGACTGTCTTGAGACAGATTTCCTTTTTAACATTAAATGTCTTCTCTTCAGTGACTTCCTCTAGCTTTCAGGCTTTCTTTCTCTGATCTCTGGCAATAACAAGACTTTTCTAGGCAGTTTATAACTCAAAGTTTAGTGTTTGGACCCAGAGTTTAACTGTTTCTCTGTGCCTGTCCTTGAAGGTCTGGAAGCATTGGCAGCTGTGTTATGGAGTGTGGCAGAAGTTTTTAGATGTATAACAGGTTTTGGCAATAAACTGAATTGTAGGATCTCTTGACCCCCACTGCATCTGCTGGCAAGGTGATGAATCCTGTGATTATGCCCTTAAAAGAAGGGCAAGATTTGCTTGTTCAGTAGTTTGTTACGGAAGTTTGAATCCCCTTTTTCTTAGATTGGTTTGTGTTATGATTTCCTTTTTCATCTAGTATGACTTCTCTTGCCATTTTCAAGAGCAGCTTGGTCAGACTAAATCTTTTACATTAAGGCCAGCATCGTGTCAGACAGTGGTCAGTAGTGGGTCCTCAAGGAGAAGGACAGGAACAAGGGAGCTGTTTAATTTATCTTACCCCAAGTATCCCCCAGTGTTGGCAGTCTGCTGCTCAGGCACTTCTGACCTTTTGGACTGCTGTTGAAAATGGCAAGAGAAGTCGTGGCTAGTGGCAGGAGTCTGTTCCTGTGGATGAAGTGAGATGGGCTTTCATTACCTGCGTCCACTGAATGACATCGGCCACATCATCACCTAGCCTCTTGGTTTATAAGCTACATTCTTTGAAATCCCAACTGTTTATCCCTTAATTGTAGCATTTGATTCTCTGGCTTTTCCCCCTCCTCTCCCACTTCGCCTGGGGAGAGTTGTTTTCTGTTATGGCTTTTGCTCACTTCTCACAATCCAGCAGAAAATAGTTTTCCTTTTTAAACTTGCATTGCAGATCCCTCCTGGACTGAAATAGCATGGATGCCTATTTGCATTTGGGTGTTATTACTTGGAGTAAGCTTGATTCTTGCTGCTGGTGCTGAATGGCAGATTTGGGAGGGGAAGGCCTAAATTCATTATTGATTCTGAGTAGCTTTGTGAAAGCAGCATAGTCCAAGGTCTTTGTTCTGGGATCAGCTGCCTGGAATGCAGTAAATTCACCACATCAGTTGCAGCTAAGTTTGTAATATAGCTCACAGATGGCAAGAACTAGATCTTTGTATGATCTGTGGCAGTCAGGCATTCTTGGTGTGTATTTTATTAATTAAACAAAGAAATTACAAAGCATATTTGACTTTAGTTGAACATCAGTTCCAGACTTAGGCAAGGCAAGAGGGCAGAGCGAAGCATCAAACTGAATGATGTCAAGATTAATAGTGCAATCAATGAAGAAGTTAGTAAGAAATATCAGAAAATACAGTGGAAACAGTCTTTTGGGTCTAGCTCCATGGTCTTGTGTGGGTACATGTTGACCTGTTCCAGTTTGCTCCAAGTAAAAAGGATGAAGCTGTGTATTTTTTGATACTGCTACCAGTTTATCCTGGCATTGCCTTTGCACTGGCAGCTGGTGAGATTCCTCTCCCACTGTAGATACAGCCAACATTTCTTCTTTTCTGTTCTGTGCTACTCAGCTCTGCCTCAAAAGTTAGCATAACCCAAATGAAAACTACATGAAATGCATTTAAAAATGCCCAGTGGGCTGGCAGGTGAAAAATTTCTCTTTTAGAAAGAAAGTATGCCACTGGCACAGGAATCCACAAACTTGGTTGTGACAGGTGCATGCTCAGTGCTGTAACCCTCTGGGTGTCATTAGCACAGGACTTGGGCAGCTTGCCTTGCTGTCAGCTCTGTGTTACTCATGGCAAACACTGGATTTGGTGCCTTTGAGGCTGAGCTTTGAAGGGATTTGGGGTTCAGCAGGATAGAAAGCACAGACCATGCCCTGGAAGTGTAACCAGCAGTTTCCAGTGTGCTCTCAGTGTGCCCTGAATTTGTAGATGACATCAGTTACCTGACTGATGTGTAAGACTGGAAATAAAAGCTTCCTTCAGCTTTTGACAATCCTTTTTTACTGCCTGGTGCAGAAGCCCTGAGGGCTGGGGGCAGTTGTGCTCCTTTCCATGAGCCAGCAGTGGTCAGAGGTGTTCGGCTCTGTTTGGTTTGCACAGGGAAGTGCAGAGAGCTCTCATTTTCAGTCTACTCTGTACCCCATCAATTTCTAATGCATTCAGCTCCCCTTTCATGCACACACCACTAACTCAGCCATGTACCAGCAGAAACATTGTCAGGA